TGGGCTCTGGCGCAGGGTCTCTTCGAGGTTGTAGATTGCCATCTTCTCCTTGTGTCCTCACATGGTAGAAAGAGGGTGAGTGAGAGGGTCCCTTTTATAAGGGCACTAATCTCATCATGAGGGCTCCATTTTCATTACCTAAAAATCTCCCAAAGGCCCCACCTCCTAATGCCATCACACTGGGGGTTAGATTTCAACACATTAATTTTGGGAGGACACAAACATCCAGTCCATTGCCGTGATATATTTATTCCAAAGGTGATAAAAGTAAGTAAGACTTTTTTGGTAAAAATACTTTTTTTTTTTTTTTTTTTGGTAATAAGTAAGACAAGGTACCTGCTCAAAATTATCAGCAAAATCAATAATTTTTAAGCAAGTGGAAAATAATGCATAGTCCCTACTTTCTAATCAGTCCTCAGTCCCTCAGTTTAGTTCAGTAATGATTAATATCATCATGATCTTGACCATCAACATCCACTAGGTTCCAGGCTCTGTGCTAAATGCCAGAGTAAAAATGTAAAGAAGACAGGGCCTGGGCCCCTGAGGGGCTCATCCTAGTTAACTCTAGGGTACATGTTGGTGCCCTAATTGTGATAGGTTTGACCTCTAGATTTCTTCTAGGGCTACAATTAGAACACACTGTCAATCTGGAATGAGAACCAACCAATGTAAGTATCTAAAAATTGCCTAAGAAGCTATAACATTTGTGCTAGGTATAGCAGGGTAACTGATTTTCTAACAATATTGAACCTGTTTATAAACGATCAGTGTTTCACACCTAGATTTATTTTAACACATACTGGGCTTAAAAAAATTATTGTATATATTTGTGTACATGATATTTTGAGATAGATAATGAGAGGTTACTCTAGTCACACAAATTAATGTCTGTCTAATTGACCAAACTAAATTACTCAGAATTTCACATTCACTTGTCAGTTAAATATAAGATTAATTTCAAATAATTAAATGAATGATGTTAATTTAGTATACTACCGAAAGTTGACTTATGAGCATCTTGAATCAAATAGTGAACAATATAGACTTGCACATAGGATATATTCTGTAATTACACTGAGTGAGAACTGCTAATGAGATCATTGGGGTATAATTTTATCAATGCTTTTATTCTTTTAACTTCAAATTAGTTTACCTTTAGCCTAGAATAAAACAGGTTTGTTGTATCTTTAATTTTGCAACATACATTAATATAAAGTATAAAATACAAACAGCTATTTAGAGGAAGCATTTGTGAGATGCAGTTTTGGTGAATGTGATTTTGACTTTGTAATCAAAATAAAAAAAGTAAAGCTCTAAACTGAAAAGAGAAATGGACAGGGACAACTATTGTGCTACAGCACAGAAAGTCCTTGTTCAGCTGCTTGCTAGAATAAAATCTTTACACAAGGGAAGCTCTTCCTTTATATTTACTCAGTTCTGTTCATTTCCTGCTCAGTCGATAGTCAGCTTTGTATTGCATTTACTCGTCATGATGTACTAATTACTTGCCAAAGGCTCCCAGTATTTTTTTAAAATGAAAAATGGTGCATACACGCTTTGGGAAAGTGAAGTTACATAAAGAGCCTTTTTGGTTACCCATTAGGGTGCTCGCTCAGTAACTTCTCCCTTGTTATTTATTTTGTGAACAACTCTTCCTCTCCTAAGTTAATAAACTTAGTGAATGCTTCAATGCATCCAAAGATTCAGAACATTCTTTTAGAAGCTATAATGTAGGCAATGGGAAAATGAATGCTGATGTTTTATAAAGAGCTGATTTCATTGCACAGGACTTGCAAGTCTCTTTGGAAAAGGGATCCACATTTTTGTGATTTATTAAATATACAAACCATAGCCATTATAGTTTGTTTCAGGTGTTTATCATATACTCAAGGAAGTATCTACATAAGGCCAAAATATTCAGATGAAAAGTGAAAAAATGTAATCACCTACATTAAGTCGAGCATTGGAATGTTTTGGAACAACCTAGAAGGTAAATTTTTGTATAGAGAATTTGGCAACACTTAGATACAAGGAACAATGTCTGGCAGAAAACATGTTTCATTTGGAGACCTGGCTTATCAGCAGATGGTCATCTATTATAGAACTAATTTTGTGACATGACATGCATATGCAACTCATACATTTAAAATATGAGAATATAATTAAAAGAAAATAATAATATTAAATTCTCTATGAAACAAGTTTTTAAAGGTAATTGACCAAAACAATTTTGAAAATTTTACTGAACAACAAACTTTGCTCAAAGGTGCAGCATTAGAGTCAATTTGTTGCATGCTAGTTATAGAGTTTCTGAAAATGTAACCTCAAATTGAAACCCTTTAGTGATAGTTTTTAAGTGATTAGTTACAGTTGCAGATATTTTATTCCCTGATCTAAAACAGTCTTATTAAATACATTATTAAAGGAAATGCCATTATAAGCATTTTTACAAATCACCGTTTGTCCATTCTGTCAAAAAGGGTAACCCAGAGTTGCCTTGTGTTCTGTTGTGGTTTCTGAAGCCAATGTGATACTATCTTAACCCCTCACTACCACCCATCTCTCAAATATCTACCTCTGAGATAGAGGAATCTGGATTCTCATGTAACTGGTTCAGCATGCAGTTAGTTTATCCCCACTCCTAGAAAAAGTAGCTCAAACCACAGAGGGAGGCTATAGGTGAGGCTGAGTGTCAGACATGGAGAAGGAGATGTTTTATTTTAATGCAGAGGGCATAATAAAATCAACTTAGAAGGCTTGTCTCTTACCATAAAAGATACTATCTGTTTATTATATTTGCATCTCATTTCCAAGGTAAAATTTTACTTTCCCCACCAATATATATTTACCTTTCTTAGATTCACAGGACCAGAGGCAATATACAGCAATAATCGTGTCTCCAGTGAAAGTTATGGGAGTATTTTAAACAATTGCTCATAAATAATTGCTGGCTGTGGGGAATATAGGGACAAACAAACAGTAAAGGAAGAGGGATAATGTTGCAAGGTTCGTTCACTGTGCAAACAGCGCAGGTAGGGTACAAAGTCTACAATTCTTACCTCCTCCCTTATTTGAAATGAAAACTGCATGTGACATTTTGATATTTTGAGGTTTCTCCCCCTTCTTCTTTACATTGCTGAACTCCTGATGCAGTCATCTGGAAGCCTCATAAGTAGGTGAGGTGGTTGTTCACTATGTCACTGTATGACTGATTTCATGTATGTCATTGTGTGATTTTAAGAACATAGGAGAAACTCCTGTGCACACTACCTCACCCAGAGTCTTGCCAAACTCACTTTGAAAGAAATCTCAATGCCACAGTTAATGCTTCATTGTTTTTCCTCAAGCCAAAGATTAAGTGCTAATGTAAGTACTCCTAAGGAAGGTAGTTCATTGACCTATTATCAGTCACTTATACCTTAGTGGGAATGAGTTTGACAACAGTTTATATAGAAATTAATAAATTTAAAAATTACTTTCTGATTTTTTTTTCTGAAACTAACGAGTTTTCAGATAAATACTAAATTATTTGAACACATTTTAATTGAAGAATTATCTTTATTATCATAGGTAATATTTATTGAGTGTCTGTTATATGCTAGTCATTATTCTAAGATTTCATGACAACAAACTTGTATGACAGAGATATGATTATTATTCCCATTTTACAGATGAGAAAGATGAGGCACACAGAGGTTAAATAACTTTATAAAAGTCACTGAGCCAGGATTTGTACTTATTAGTCTAGTTCTAAAACCTGCACGTAAACCACTCTCCTACTCAATTCTTCTCTCAAAGGTATGATGGCTGGAACATGTGGGAGAAGGAAAGATATTTGTGAAACATTAGAAGTCTGAAATTATTTTAAAGTGTTATTATACCAACAACTATTACAATTTGCATACAGTTTTTCATACCAGTGTCGGATGGAACTCTACGATGCTTACAATGATCCAAACATCAGCATAATGGGATAATTAGAACCATATTAACATCAGGTACTTACTATTCAGCAGCTGATACAATAACTTGCATCGCTATTGTCTTTATGATCATTGCCATCATTGTCATCATTATTTATTGAGAGCTTATCAGATCCCAGGAGCCATGTTTAGTTCTCTACCTAAGTGATCTCATTTAAATTTCAGGCAATCTTATGGGTGGTTATAATCATTTCCATTTTATAGACGAGAAAACTGAGGCTCAGAGATGCTAAAGTCGTAGAATCAGAAATGATAAAGCTAGAATTTTAACTTGTCTGCCTCTGAAGCTTACTTTCTTGACCACTTCAGTATGTCCAAAAGTCTAATACTATTAATACTTCTAGTCTCACCACCACCAAATACCACTTACTGAGTGTCATCTATGTGCCAGGAAGCCTATATCAGGCTAGTTCTATGTCACTGTGTCAGTGGCTCATGGGCCAATTCCAACCAGTTGCCTGTTTTTGTAAATAAAATTGTATTGTCAGAGGCAGTTTTACTCTGGTGTATGACTTGAGGGAAAGAATAAGGTAATAAAGTTAATTAGTTCTGGCATCTGTAACCAAAGCCATAAAAAGAAAGTATCGTCTATGGCTGCTTTTGTACTAAAAGGCAGAGTTGAGTACTTGCAACAGAGATCTTACGGCCTGCAAAGCCAAACAAACTTACTATCTGGCCCTTTACAGAAAAATTTACTGACCCCCGCCTTAAACCATCTTTCAATGTATGTATTATTATTCCCATTTTAAGATGAACATATGAGAATTCAGAGAAATTAGATAACTTGCCCTCCCAAATATTAAAAAGTAAGAACCCAGTGAAAAATGCAGGTCTAGGGGACTCCAAAACCTTTTCCTTTTCTTCTCTTGAAACTTACAACAGCAACAATTTTTATAATTACCAGTTGCAAGAGATTTCCCTAACAACACATGGTTAACAATATAGTTTTAAATGTTGATGCTGGTATTAGAGATTTAGACATTTTCCCTTTTCAGAAAAATATTAAATTTATCTTACCTTCTGATAATTTACTGTACCTAATTCCTTGAGGATGGATGCTTAAGGGCTTATCTGCCTTATTCTTAAAGTGAACTTTTATGGTGTCTCCGACTTCAGCATATAAAGTAGGCCCAAGAAGTCCTGTGAAAACAAATATTTAAACTATGTCTGTATTCAGGGTCACCAAAGGCAGAGTTGCTAAGCAAGAAAAGCAAACAGATGATACCAAGAGTGATTGCTACCATTCCTCCTGGTCCTGAGGCTGACCGGCTTATCTTCAATCTAGAAGGTTTTAGCAGCTCATTAACTCAATATCACACGTAAACAGATCAAACAGAATGGTAGAAACACTTGTCCTGGACCTAAAAGAAGTCAACAGAGCAGGAGAAATAGTTCTGACCAAGTCCCGCCCACTTTGACCCACTGTCATTCCTTAGAGATAACTGTCTTTGCTTAAGAAAGATGTTCATTTCAATTACAGAGGGTGATGCAACAGAGTAGTTACTTTAGATTTCTCTGACGTGGGAGTGCTCAGAGACCTAGATGAATTGAGGAACCAAATCACGCAGCTCTCTGGCTCTGAGGCAGGAGTAGGCTTGACGTATCTAAGGAACAGTAAGAAAAACAGTATGGGAAGAAAGAAGAGATGAGGTGGATGGTGGGTGTGCAGAACAAGGAAGGCCCTATGGGCTATGGTAAGAACTCGAATTTTCTTCTAAGTAAAATGGGACATCACTGGAGCATTTTTTTTTTTTTTTAAATGGAGTCTCGCTGTGTCTCCTAGGCTGGAGTGCAGTGGTATAATCTCAGGACCCACTGCAACCTCCACCTCCTGGGTTCAACCAATTCTCCTACCTCCGCCTCCCAAGTAGCTGGGATTACAGGCATGCACCACCACACCCAACTAATTTTTGTATTTTTAGTAGAGATGACTTTTCACCATGTTGGCCAGGCTGGTCTCGAACTCCTGACTTCAGGTGATCCACCCGCCTCAGCCTCCCAAAGTGCTGGGATTACAGGCGCAAGCCACCATGCCTCGTCTAAGTGAAATGGAGCATTTCTAAGTAAAATGAAAACCACTTTGTACAGCAGAGACATAGTATAACGTGTATTAAAAGTTCATCCTAAAACAAAAAGTTCATCATAGCTGCTGTGTAGAGAATAGTCTGTGTAGGGACAAGAATGGAAGCAGAGAGCTTAGGCAGTATAGGAGACTGCAGTGTACTGGGCCAGCACATGTAGCAGGACGTGATGAGTAGTGGTTGGATTCTGGACATTTGTGTAGGTAAGACAAACAAGACTTGCTGATGGATTGCATGTGGCTTGTGAGAGACAGAAGTCAAGGATGACCTCAAGGTGTTTTATCAGAACAACTGGGTAAATGATGTTATTAGTTACTGCAATGGGAGAACACAGCAAGGACAGGAGGTTATGGGTGCAGAAATCAAGAATGAGGTTTTACTTTCTACATGCCAGGCACTGTGTTAGAAAGTTTCTGGCTACATGGATCAAATACAGTCCCTGTCCTGAGGAGCTCACAAGCTAATTTGGAGATAGATGTATGATAGGAGCGACTGCTGAGATATGGGCAAAATACTACAGAAGAAGAGAGGATGAAGCACAGATTCTGTCTGGGGAGTTAGGGAAAAAGTTGATGGCTGAGTCAGAATTCAAGGAATTATATATAGTCAGCCCTCCATGACCATGGTTCATATTCATGGTTACACATCCATGGAGTCAACCAATTTTGGATCAAAAATATTTTAAAAACAACAATAAAAATAACACAACAATAAAAACAATACAAATAAAACTATAACATAATAGCAATTTATATAGTATATACATTGCATTCAGTATTATAACTAATTTAGAGATGATTTAAAGTATATGAGAGCATGTGCATAGGTTATTGCAAATACTATGACATTTTATATAAGGGACTTGAGCATCTGCAAATTTTGGTATCTGTGAGTAGTCCTGGAACCAATCCCATGTGGATGCCAAGGGATGACCATACTAGAATTTCCAAAGTGTAGTCCTTGGAGTCTCTGCATCAGAATCACCTAGGGTCTTACTAAGAGGCAGATTTCCAAATGTCACCTCAGCCTCAATGAATCTGAGCTCTGGAGGTGAAACTTGGGAATCTGGACTTTAACATGTGCTCCTTGGTGATCTTGATGTCTTTGAAATCTTGAGAATCTATGACCAAAAGACCCATTCCAGACAAGTGACAGAAATCAACTACTGTCATTTCTGAGCCATCCACAAGTGTCATGGGATTGGCTTCTCGCCATTAGGCATCCTAGAAGCAGGAGAAGGAAGTCACAGCACTCATGGAGCTCAGCCACCATTTGTTTGCACTGGTGACGATAATTATAATAGGGCTTTCCTGTACTGTTTCCCTTGATACATTCAAGTACTGTAAGTCCCTACCTTAATTCTCACACGTTTTTAAGGTAGATATTAAGATCTTCATTTTATAGCTGAGGAAACTGAGCCTCAGAGAATTTAAATATCTTGCCTAAAATCACACAGCATCATGATTTAAAGTTTAATATGTCTGTCTCTAGATCATGACTTTTAAACTACTTCTTTAAACTACACTTCCACCTTGTATTCATTCCTTTATTTATTCAAGGAATATCGAGTGCCTATATTATCCTAGGCATCAGAATTGCAATGGTGCATAAAAAAGTAAAATAGATACACCCACTCCCTGCCTTCATAGAGTTTATAAAAAGTCGAACATTTTTATAGTTCTATAACTTTATAAGTTTTTATAGTAGGAAAGACATATTTTAAACAAATGATCACACAAACATTCAATTTATTTATTCATTTATTTTTTTTTTTTCTTTGAGATGGAGTCTCGCTCTGTCGCACAGGCTGGAGTGCAGTGGCCGGATCTCAGCTCACTGCAAGCTCCGCCTCCCGGGTTTACGCCATTCTCCTGCCTCAGCCTCCCGAGTAGCTGGGACTACAGGCACCCGCCACCTCGCCCGGCTAGTTTTTTTGTATTTTTTTTAGTAGAGACGGGGTTTCACCGTGTTAACCAGGATGGTCTCGATCTCCTGACCTCGTGATCCGAAAACATTCAATTTAAACCTATGGTAAATACTATGACAGAAAAGAATGGAATACTCTGAAGAGTATTTGACAGGGGAATCTAGTCCAATAGGAGGTAAGTTGGGGAATTCTTTTCTGAGGAATTAATCCTTTAACTGAAGCCCAAAGGCAGAGAGGCAAAGGGATGGCCGAAGACATTCTAAAAAGTGAGAGTGGTATGCACAAAGGCCCTGAGGTGCAAGAAAATGTGGTCTTTTCAGAGAACTGACAGCCAGTGGGGAGGTGGAGCTTAGTATGTGAAAGGAAGGAGCAGAAAGTGAAGCTGAAGGCATTCTGAGAGTCCCATCATGCAGGGCTTTGTAAGCCTCTTTGAGTTTTCCCTTTAGCCTAAGAGTATCTGGAAGCCATTAAAGAGTTTTCATCAGGGTGCAACATGGACCAGATTTTGGTTTTAAAATCTCTGGCTGCATTTGTGGAGGATGATCTGGGAGGAAACTGAGTGGAGAACAATTGTGAGAACAGATTTGGCTCCAGGAGAGACAGTGGTGACTGAGATTATGATGAGATGATGAGGAGAGAATATATTAGTGATCTATTTAGAAGATAAAATAGTTGGAACTTGAAGATGGATTGGATATGGGGTAGAGAATGAAGGACATCAGTTGCCATGGATGGCTGATGAGGTTCTGGTTTGGGGAGCTGGGTGGAGGGTGCCATTCTCTGAGAGGGAGGACACCGTGGGAGGGCTTTGTTTGGTGGGTGTAGTAGGCAGAATAATGTGCCCCTGCTGAGATGTCCATGTCCTAATCTCTGGACCTGGAAATATGCTACTTTATATGGCAAAAGGGACTGTGTATCTATGATTAAGGATCTTGAGATGAGATTTTTCTGGGATGTCCAGGTGGATCCCATGTAATCCCAAAGGTCCTTATAAGAGGGATGCAGGAGAATCTGAGTTAGGAACAACTTGGGATGCTACTCAGCTGGTTTTGAAGATGGAGGAAGGGGCCATGAGCCCATGAGTGTAGGCAGCTTCCAGTAACTGGAAAAGACAAGGAAACAATTCTCCCCCAGAGCCTCCAGAAGGAATGCAGCTCTGCCAACACGTTGATTTTAGCCCAATAAAACCCATTTTGGACTTCTGATCTGCAGAAATATAATTATAAAAGAATAAATTTGTGTTGTTTTAGCCACTAAGTTTGCAGTAACTGGTTACCAAAGCAATGGTAAACTCTGATCTCTGGGACAGAGATCCTATCTTTCCCTACCCCTGTCTTGCCACCCATGGTTGTCCTATTCATTTCCTTGAACTCCTAGTCCTGGAATTTATTCTGATCTTGTGCCTGAAGCTTTTTGTTTGTTTTTATGTTGGCTTTACACAGGACTGTGGAGGTCACAAAGTTCAGTCCTTCTTTTAGTTAACAAAGCCTGGGAGGTAGGAATGGGGGGACAAGGATGACTTGCCCAAGGTCAGTCAGTGATCTGGTAGCATTGCTGGGATCAGAACTCAGATCTCTGGACTCCTGAGCCAGGGCTCAGGCCCCCATCTTTATAGAACAGTCCAGATGTCTACACCTCTTTTGACTCCTGACATGTCTGACTCCACTGACTGACCCCTCTCTTCCAGCTGCTACCCTCTGTCTTGGCTCCTGATGGAAGTTTCCACTGACTATTCCCACCTAACCTGGCTGCCAGTGAGCCCAGCAGGGTGCTGACTATGCTGCCAATTATGTACCGCATTTAGTTGCCATGGTTCTCTTGCTTGGTTGGTTTGTTTACTGGCATCACATGGCTGCAAATACCAGATGCCCAGAGAAAGTCTATTAAGTTATTTAACCTAATAAGACCTATTACTTCAGTGGACAGTTTGGAGTATTTACTCAACCTCCCCTCCTGCTTCTTCAGAATTAAGGCAAAACAAAAGGATGTTTTCATAAATGCATACGGAATACTTTCAAGCATGTAGGAAAACACATGGCTAAATGGTTTTCCAGCTGCTCTTCAGCTCCTCCATCAGCCAGATGGCCTAAGACCCTTCTCACCCTCTCCTCAGTGCCCAAAGCTGGATCGGG